GCACAAATCAGAGGAAGGTGGGGCTATGCTGGGAGAAACTAGGGTGGAGAGCATGAAGCCACAAAATTCAACTTCCCTTCTCTCCCCCCACCCCCACGAGGGCCTCTGGAACTCTAGAGAGCATGATTTGAAAAAGGAAAGAGATACACATATATTAAGCCAAATCAGATGGTGAATATGCAATTGTTTAGTGTAATCTGTATGACACCATACCAACTATGGCTGTTGCCAAATGGAATATAAAATTTTCTCACTGTCTTACATTCAACTGAGCATTTACAAGAATACTAGGAAAAGGGCTATGCTGACAGACCGGAAATACAAGAGGAAGCAGCAAAGAACAAACTCAAAGACATAGAGAAAGGGTAGAGGAGAATATAACAGAAACAAAAGTTACATCTAACAAAGACTAAAATGTGTGGCTCTCTAGAACAACTGCAGCATCAGAGGAAATATCAGTAATTATTTAGGGGGCCTCCTATGAGCCAGACACTGAATCGAGACCAATGCAGCAACCTGGAGAAATGCTATTATTCCCCATTTTATGGGTAAAGGAAAAGGGGCTTGAGAAGTTTAGGAATGTGTCTGAAGATACATAGTAAATTAGAGACAGGACTCAAATTCTACGGTATCTGAGGGTAAAGCCTGGACAGGCAACACATTTTTAAATGTTTTGTGTATGACAACATATATAGCCCAAAGTCTTCATCTTACTATGCCAACAATGTGGAACAGCCATGCCATCTGGCTTGCCAGGAACAATCCCAGTTTACGTGTTTCCCTGTGTAATTATTAATGGTACTCACTCCCTTTCACTCTCAGAAGTGTCCTAGTTTAGACACTAAATTATATGGTCATCCTGCCTCAATGCCACTGACTCACAATAAAACTGGCCTATACACTTTCCTAGGCCCAACGTAAAATAAAAATGTGAGGCCCCTTGTTCAAAACACAGGAAACAAGTGCTATTAAAGGTATTGAAATAGAAAGCTTTTTTCTTTCATGTATCTGTTTGGTCCCATCAAACTTCACTTGTAAAACCAAAGTTCAAAGACAAAATTGGTAAGAATTTCAAGACAGCAAGAGCAGAGCATTAAACTAACCACAGGGTGCTTCTGCTCTCAGAGCCCTGTGCCCCCTGCACAGGACACACACCCATGAAGCAGGCCCGGGGTCTATCCTTTCTCCAACCACTCAGATGGGTCTGTGATCCTGGCTTGCTCCTGGCTTGCTGTGTCACTGGTTGCAAACAGGAAACAGGCTGTAACCTACTATTGTCCGGACTTTCAATATTAAACACTCTAGTACGAGATTCATAAAATCATTTCTTTAAAAGAAATGTTTTAGGGTATATCTAACAAAGCACAAAATTTCATTTCCCAAGCAAAACAAGAATATACATTTAAGAAAATTAGGTCACTCATTTTATCTATGACCTAGAAATAATTAATCTAGATAGTGGAACCTACTCATGATCTCAAATGAAAACTTAGAATCCATGAGATGAAATAATAGTGCGTTATAAAGCCTTTAATACCTCAGCACCTCATTGAAATCATGTTTCTGTTTAAAAACAGGCACTACGTATTGAATTTGAAATTTTGTTGCATAAATTTATATGTGCCTGAGAAAAACTGAAGAAATGTCTGCTATCTACTCAGATCAAATGGAAGAAAAACAGAAATCAGAATTTTAAGGATGTGTCCTTAAAAACGGGGTGGGAGGATAGAGGATGGGTCAATTTATTGATTCTTTCATTCATTCAACAAGCATTTATTGAGTACCAACAACGTTATAGGCACTGCGCAAAATTCTAGGAAGCACAGACTAGAAAGCTATGCCCCTGGTCTCAAGCTTACGGATGGTCTAGTAGAATGAGATCATGGTAAACAAATACATGCATCAACTACTTTGGGTACTATGGAAGAAGTAATGAGGGGTAGAGTGTTCACAGCACAGGGAGCTCCCGGGGAGAAAGAGATAACTGATCCTTGAAAGCCCAATAGAAATCCACCAGGTATAGAAGAGAGGCCCCAGAAGAACAAGGCAGGTGCGTGAGAAAGCATGGCCCACTGTGGGAAGAGCAAGCCTCTCTAAATGAGGGCAGACAGCTTAAAGCACAGAGCTTTGTTCACACAAGCAGCGTGTGCCTGGGTGGCAACTAGAGAGAAGGTGCATACAGGTTGATGCTATAGTATAGAGAAAAAAAGGCAACGTTCATGGACTGTCTGGCAAGGTGTTCTTTCCTTAAAGTGCCAAAGAGTGGGAACTGAGGACAGAGAGGACTCAGAAGTTGGAAAGATCTTAGTAAGAGAGTTTTCCCCTCCAGTCATATGATCTTTTAATCAAGGGAAACAATACCATCGTTTGCTTATCTGTGGGCCTGTTAGTAATAATACGTTCTTGGTAGAACTAAAAATATGTTTTCTACCTCTTCTACCTCTTCCTAATGAAAATAAGAGTCATCTTTCACCCATGTTAATGGCTTAAAGCAGTGACAGAAATGACTAATGACTACTCTAACAAATACTTAAATTTGACTTAGGAATGGCCTATCAATTTTTTGTAACAAATCTACCACTCAACTTTTTTAATACTATGGCTAATTTTTTTAAAAAAACTTTTGTTTGTCTCCATTTCTGATCATTTCCTTAGGATAGGTTCCTAGAAGAGGAATTATCAGGCCAAAGGGTTTGAATATCCTCAAAGCTCTTGGCACATATTGGAGTCTAATATTAAAACTAGACTGACTACATCAATTGCAGGTGACTTGAGAAAACTGCAGGGGAATTAAGTGTTACTATAAATAATACCCCCCAAAAAGAAAATCTAATAATGTATTATAAATAGATCTTAGTCTTTGAATAGTTAAAAGACCAAAAAGAAGCCCGAGTAAATTTTTGTTTAGGATGACATTCAGGTCAATTAGTGTGTTTGTGTGTGTAAACAAATACAAGCACAAATAATGGACAAAGAAAAGGAAAAGTGGAAGAGTTTATAATTTCTGAATGAGATAAGAAGAGTGAAATCATAAGATGATGTTCTACTTGTGAAAAAGGAAAATACAATTGAGTCTACCTAACTCTACATAGTAATAATAAGTTTTCCACTGTAATAATCAGGTGTTAGGATCAGAGGAAAAACTGACATTTTAAATATAGATCAACAGATTGGCCTTTAAGGTAGATTAGGTTAGCTATTTCTGCAAATTAGCGTTCTGCACAATACTTTTTTCATATACCTTCAGAAAAAGTAACTGCATAAGAAACGACTCAGAGTCTTCAAAAGTCAAACAACTTTTGTTACCATAAAGTTTCATGAAAGTCAGATTTAAAGCTATTAAAAGTTGAATCTCGGCCAGGCGCGGTGGCTCACGCCTGTAATCCTAGCACTCTGGAAGGCCGAGGCGGGCGGATTGTTTGAGCTAAGGAGTTCGAGACCAGCCTGAGCAAGAGCGAGACCCCGTCTCTACTAAAATTAGAAAGAAATTAATTGGACAACTAAAAATATATAGAAAAAATTAGTCAGGCATGGTGTCGCATGCCTGTAGTCCCAGCTACTCGGGAGGCTGAGGCAGGAGGATCGCTTGAGCTCAGGAGTTTGAGGTTGCTGTGAGCTAGGATGACACCATGGCACTCTAGCCCGGGCAACACAGTGAGACTCTGTCTCAAAAAAAAAAAAAAAAAAGTTGAATCTCCTTAAAAGCATGCTTTTTTGACAATCACTGCTGCAAGGAAGTGTATAATAATTCCCTAGATCACCAATTACCAGGATATTCTCAAATATCTGTACATTTCCAAAGAATGTGGCCTTTGGGGGCTCAAGCACATTGATTTTGAGAAGCCAACCTGAGCATTTTACATCACTTGAGATATTGTTCTTTCCTTCTTGCCACAGCCAAGAAGTAAAGTTGCTCTATCATGATTGCAAGCTGAAAGTGTACAGATTTTAGAACACTGAGCAGGCATTTTGGCATTGGTCCTTCAGACCAGGGGGGCATAGAACTGGGTGTTGGCAGGAGAAGCAGGTTAGAGGATTTGAGTGAGACAGCAAAAGCTTTGAATGATCCTCTCCCAGATATCTGGGTGGAGAGAAGCCAACTCTCAAATTCTTTGTCTTTTCAACAGTGAATAAGAAAAAATTCCGCTTTTGAGCAATGTCTCAGAAGTTACTAGCATTCAGTCTCGCCCCTCATGCCCTAAATGAATGAAAATATTCTCAAAGCAGACTTCAGTGAGTCAAGCAGAAACTTAGAAAGTTCGTGCCCAGTTCCACGAAATCCTGAAGATGTTAGACGAGAATTTTATTACACCGTTCCCAGGGGCTCAGTATGAACAGGGGACCAAGAGCTGAGCAGAGGACAGATTTAAACCAGGGGGAAGGAGCTTGCAGGACCAGGATGGGGTGAGAGCCACATGTGGCTTTAATATCCAACAGCTGCTAGAGATCATAACCCCGCTGCTCTTTCTGTACCCCCCACCAGAATCCTATGTTTCAAAGATTATTATAACTAAAGGGACTTCACTGCCATGTTCTCTGAGTAACCAACTCAAGCTCCAGCAGATTCAAAGATTTCTTTTTTTTTTTTAACTAAATGTACCTGAATGTAGCAGACTGGACCCTTCCTTAATCACCAAGCCAAAGCTTTAAAACGGAATCTCTAGGGTAGGAAGAGATGGGGAAAAAATCACACAACGTAATTAAGCCGACCAGGGAGGTGGATAAAGAAAAGCGAGGGGAAGTGGGGCGGCCGGGATTCCCAGCACAGGCGCCTTCTCCCTTTGGAGCTAACTTTTGAGTCCCAGAGCTCTCCCAGGCCCTGGCAACCCAGTGAGTGTCTGGGCTTCAACAAATCCCCGCCAGGGTCACCGCGCCGGTGAACGCAGCCTCCGCGCGCGGATTCAGGTGCCCGCGATGCCCGGACCGGTCCCCTGCTGCGGGGCAGACAATGCCGCGCGCGCTTCCCGCGGTCCCCCTGCGTCGCCGCGCGGGTCACTCACCGACACCAGGAACTCCAGCGTGCCCACATAGTCGCGCTCGGTCTTCTGGAGCTCGCTGAGCACGCACACGCGCAGGCGGAGCTGCTTCTCCAGGTCCTTGGCGCTCTCGGCGCGGCAGTCCCCGCGGTTCTCGTCACTCATGGTGGGCGGCGGGACACGGCGGTGGTCGGCCGTGCTGCGCGCTGCCCCGCGCGCCCGCTGCTGCCGGGCCCCGGCGGCGAGGAAAGAAAGTTGCCGCCTCCGCAAAGTCCGAAGAGGGACAGGCGACTTCACATGCCGGGGAGAGGCTGGGGCGGGGGGAGAGGAGGCGGCTCGCGCTGCTGCACCCGCGCGGGAGGCGCGGGACTCTGTGAACTCCCGGGAGTGGGCGCTGCGGCCCCGGCCCCGCGCGCCTGGCCCCGCTGCTCCGGCCTCACACGGCCCGGGCTGGAGGGGAGGCGGCTCCGGCAGCCACAGCGGTGACTTGGACATTAATCAAATGCTTTGTATCCATGTGACTCCGACCCTTTACCCTTCGCCAGATCTCAGGAAAAAGGAAACACAACCCTGGGAAGTGCTGCGTGCCAGCTAACTAAACACACACACACACACACACACACACACACACACACACACACTCGGCACTTGGGATGGAACTAATTGGAGGTTCCCAAACCTGGGAGCCACATACTCCAAGACACAGCTCGAGGGGTGCCCCTGAGACTCCCGCCTATTGTTTAGCTTTAATGCGTTTTGTACAAATCCTGAAAGCAAAGAAACAAGTCCCCACGGTTACATAACTGGATGGGAACAAAAACAACCACGGTATTGACCCTCCCGTCTTTGAAAGGAAACACATTGATTTTTGGTTTTATTCAAGCACAAAACAGGTTTGCTTTTAAAACCCTCCAACTGAGACTATTTCACAGAGCAGACACCCTCCTGTTTGCACTTGGAAAGTCAATTAACATAATAAATGAAGATACTATGGGAAAATGACAGCCCCTGCCCATACAATACTACAAATAAAATAAACATCACCATTGCACTGTGCTGTTTTGCATGTCTATAACTTTTTTAAACATCAAGACAGTATGGAAAGTCAACGAAAGGCAAGGGCATTTGTGTCAGTTGTGTTTCTAAGAGCTATTGTGATTTAACATGGTGTCACTCATTGAAAAGATAAAGCTGTTGTTGAATGCTCATCAAAAAATAAATAATCTTAGGTTTTGAAAATGGAGAGAAGCACAGAGCATTCTTTATTTTAATAGCTAAGTTTATAGCCTTTTCTCACTTGGAAACAGAGCCAGGACCTACTAAGCCTGAATATTAGCAATAAATTCAACAAAAAAAAAAAATCCATATATGTTTTTGTGTTGGTATTATCTGCATATATTTTTCAGAGTCGTGTTTTCCTGCTTACAACAACTTCAAATAGTCCAAAGCTAATGACATTTAAATCAACCGAAGAGTAAATGCTTTTGATGCAAGAAAGTGGCATGTTAATTTGTTCCAATAGTTGAAAGACTTAGCAAAACTCTAAAACATAAAGATGCTTTCTAGTTATTTACATTAAAATCATTATGTATCAATTTTCCAGATGATGTCTTTTCAGAACATGGTGTTTCGAAGAGGGATTTACTTTTCTTCTTATGTTAAAGATACAGTTTTTGAATGATGAATGCAGAGCTGATGGACAAGATGTGATTTTCCTCTTTCTTTTACATATGGCTATTTAGAGCTCACCAAGAGCAAAGGGCAAATAACAGTAGAAGGCCTCACACTGTGGCAAAAGAACAAAGGGCAAAGTGCATTAAAGAGCAGACATCACAGCACCTATTAAACAATAAACAAATGGAACTAGAAGACATAGGAAGCACACAACCAGTAATGAATGGGAAAACCAAACGTGATTGAAACTTCTGTATACTACAGGCAGCAAGGAGTAAATGCATGTCTTCCTTCCCAGGTCTGCATACTTCCCTAGTGAAAAAAGTAAGTAAACAAAGCAGTTTTCCATCAGGTGTTCTCCTAAATAAAATAGAATCTCTCTCTTACCAATTGTCCCCAGTTAGAGAACTGATCAGGCAGTTTCCTTCTATCGAAAAAACTAGTGTACATACAACCAACTAGAGCTGCAGTATCACCTCTGAGAGCAATGTACTTGAGGCTGAATCACCATTAGGGTTTTACCCATCCAAAGCATTTGCCTGGATTCCACAAATATGCACGGAGGACCTCTGTAAACATTGCATAGTGTCAAGGCTTAAGGACCACAAAGACCCTGATTCTAGGCAAATGTCACAGACCATTGCATTATAATCACCTGAGGTGTTGTTAAAATGAACATTGCTGGGCCCCACCTCAAATTCACTGAATGAGAATCTCAGAGAAGTATGCCCTAAATTCTTTTAACAAAATCTTCAGACTATTCTTAACTCACTAACTTTTGAGAACCACCATTTGAAGATTTATGATTGAGTCAAGAAGAGGGTCACAATGATATGTAACTCTATAAAAATGTAAGCTGCAATGAATGCTTTGCAAAAAAAAAAAAAAGAGTGATGGAAGCTAGCAGAAATATATTCATTTTTAATTGTGCAGATTCAGATTTCTCTCAGAAATGCCTGTGCAGAAAGTATTATGATTTATACTTTCTTACCACTCTTCTGCTCCTCAATATCATTTATAATTAATGAACAACTTCAGGACACTGCATAGTGCCTTCTGCCAGGCACCTCTCAGTGTCTTCTGTTGCCCTGGCTGGAGTTCTTAATTCCTCATCAAAGACATAAGAGCATAAGAAAACAGGGCTGGAGTATCTGGAAACCTTCACTTTGATGGTAAATAAGGTCTTTCATAAACTCTGAATGTGCTGTATCCCTCCCCACTTCCTCCATTGAAACTCTAGGCTCTGCCTGCCAGGGGGGAAAAAAAACAACAACCGAATGATGGACAGGATCCAGTTTTTTCCTGAAATACTAATCGGGATGAAGCATCCAATGAAAAGGAGATGGGAAAAAAGAAGACAGAGAAAAGAGACTAAGTAGTAAACTAGCTCAGCCATTAAATTTGTTTCGTATGCATGAACACGGTATAGGTAGAATCTGTTATCATAAAGTTCAAAGAACCAAAGCACAGTGCACAGTAGGCTTCCTTTGGTCAGGCCCAGAGAAGGATGACTCCCGGACTGAAAGACTGAAAACTCTAAGGCTGCCTTTTTGCACGAAGAAAGCTGGCCAGTCAAATTTCAGATACAGGCCAGGTCAGCCTCTCTGCCATTTCAATACAACTATTTGTCCAGATAAAGTAATAAATCCAATTTGATGCTGAAGTTCAGTAAAAGATACAGCACAGACAAAAAAAATAGAAAGCTTGCTTTATTGCATGGCCATCATATTAAATAGAGAACTCTAAGAGTCATACTGTTCTTTTTCCACAAGTAAAATAGATTCTGTCATTTCCTTTACTATCTGGTTTATGATAGACAACCCTAGATTTTATTAGTGTAGAAAAAATATTATGGACACACTGGAATTATATTAATGCACATTTAAGAGTCTCGGACAAGAAATAATTATTACAAATATTTATTAACTTACTTTATAACTCTTGGTTAATCACTCATTTACGTCCACTTAATTTTTGTGGCAATTTAGTCATAACAAGCACAGGATGTTCTGGAGCATGTAATTAATTCTGTCATATGAATAGAAGGATTTTAGAAAATGTATTGCTTAAAAGGGCAAAATACAGTTTTTATAAACCATATTTTAATTTCTTCTACAATGTTTTATGGTATCAAACTAAATAAGTGTTTAGATGGTATTACTTTAGCAAGAATCTAAAGTTCTTAGAGATACGATCATTTCCAGACTAGCTTGATTAAAATCAAATCATCCTCATAGCCATCATCTAACATGTAAAGGATAATCACTTTCTCATTATGAAAACTTAATCTACAATCACTTCAGTAAAATAAACAGCCTGTTTTGGTCTGTGATTAGTCTCAGGAGAAAATCATCCTTGCTGTGCCCATCTGCCTGCCAAGCCTTCCCTCCCTATCACTTCCTCAAAAAAACTCCAACCTCACATACCTTCAAGCTATGCCCCATTTTTCTTCTTTCTAGAAAAATGGCTAAAGAGATCTATTTATTGCCTGTGATAGGCAGAATAATGATTCCCAAAGGTATTTACATCCTAATCCCCAGAACTATAAATATGTTACTTTATATGGCAAAAGGTAATCACATGCAGATATGATTAAGTTAGGGACATTGAGAAGGAGAGATTCTCCTGGATTATCTGGGTGGAACAATCTAATCACATGAACCCTTAAAAGCAGGGAATCTTTCCCAGTATGACTACATGGGTACATGTGACTATGGAGGAATGATCAGAGAGATGCAACATTGCTGACTTTGAAGACAGAGGGAATAAACCACAAGCCAAGGATCTTGGGCAGCCTCTGGAAGCTGAAGAGAATAAAGAAACTGTCTCCTAGGACTCCTAGAAGGAAAACAGCCTTGTTGACACCTTGATTTTAGCCCAGTAAGACACCTATGGGATTCCTAACCCACAGAAGTGTAAGATAACAAGTGTATGTTGCTTTAAGCCACCAATTTTGTGGTAATTTGTTACTGTAGCAATAAAAAACTAATACAGTGTCCTTACTTCTTTACCTCCCAATCTTTTCTCTAACCTGTATAATATGGCTACTCTCCCATTAGTTCAATGACGCTGATCTGGTACAGGTCCCCAACATCTTTATGTCTCTAATTTCAGTGGATGCATTTCATTCCTTGTCCCATTTGAACTTATTGTAGCATTTGGCAGTGTTGACTAGCTCTCATCCTACTTCATTCTGTGATATTATTATTCTGTTTTCCCTTTCCTTGCTGAGCTCTCTTCCAGGACCCATTTCTAAACATTGGTGTTCTTTGGAATTTGGTCCTAGGCCTTCTTCCTACACACCCTCCCTGGGTCATTTATTCACTATCTCCTATTCCCAATTAGAATAGGATTGCCCTATAGGGCATTAATTGGTCCTTCTACTTCCTTGTTGCCCACACATGAATGCCTAGAGATTTTCATAGGTAACAGTTGGGTCAGGAAGCAAGAAGGGTGAAGCACTCTTAGATTGTTCTTCTGTGAAGTTGGTC